ACCAGTCGCTAGCATTGAAAAAGGATGGAACGTGAACTAGTTGGGCTGAAACGCAAACCGGTAGAATTCTAGTTCACAACTAGTAGCTTTCCCTGCAGGGTTTCTATTAGTTAAGAAGCTCTCTTTTCAAGTCAATAGAAACTGCCAGTATTACTTTTTTAATTCTCATGTCTTCTTTCCATTGAGAAATAACCCAGTTAAATGTCGTTTCACACGAATGTTTAGCTCGAAACCTTGACTGCTCTTTAATTAATATATTTTTATCTTCAATATACTCCATGAGCTGGTTTTTTACCACTGTTTCTAATATTTTCTCCAGATTTGGTAGAGTATTGATCGGTCGAAGTTCTTCAGCTTTAACTGTGTTTTTAATTTTTTTGACTGGAACCACTGTGGAAACTTTCCATTCATCAGGTACGATACCATCTGTTATACTTTTGTTGATCATAATTGAATAGAAATACCCCAAGTATATTAAAGAGTCTTTTATTACTCTTTCAGATAATAATTTTTTCCCACCAATTTTATATTTAAATTTCTTGACAATTCGCACTATGTCATCAGTAGTTATTTCGTTAAATTTAAATGTGCTATCGATGTTATAATAGAAGTTATCACTATATTCTATATTTTCAATATCATTATTTATTTCCACTATGCTTTCAACAAAGTAGGTATTTAAGACCTCTGCTATTTGATTTTTAATATCAATATATTGACCACCATGATGTAATAATGTAATATCATCTTTTATACCATCATAGCAAACCGTCTGTTTTAAATATTTCCACATTAACTTGCTATCGGACTGGTTAGTTATAATTTTATTCTCCATATATTTAATTTTTTTCAGTTTTATCATTTTTTTGTATTCTTTTTTAATGCTGTAGTAGTCTGACCATTGGTGTGATGCTTTTGCTAAATTGTATGCCTCTGATTTTCTTTTATTTAGTTGTGTCAGTTCGTAGTCATACCACTTATTCTTTATTTTAATGTTTAATTGTTTCACAAACGTTAATTGTTGCAGACTGTTAAGCAAGCATAGATTTAGGAATGCTACCATTTCCTCTAAATCAAGTTGATCAAATATGGAAAAATCGTAACATCTGAGTAGATCAATTAAGCTATCACAACTATACCGTTCCCAAGAAAGAAGTTCGAAGTTCTTTAAATAAATTTTGAGCTAAATACTGAGGTATATTCATGAACATCACGTTTTATTTTTTACTTAAGTTTAAATACTTAGTATCTGCAAGTATTTCTTTAATGCATTCACCCGAATTTCGGGGGGTTATTACTAGTTTGTTTATAGTCTGAATGATTTTCATCATATTATTATCATAAATCAGTAATAGCAAGTCTCGCCGTCAATTTGGTAATTATTACGTGCCGATCGAGGAACATTTACCAAAGTTATATCGAAAAACTTAAGTGGATCTCCAGTTTTTTTCTAAAAAAAAATCTCTTCAATTTTATAAATAACCTTTAAATGAAAGAACAGGATTACAGAAAAGTATGCCAAGGAGTGACTTTTTTCGTTCAAGCTGAATGCAACGCAATATCGTCCAATTGGAGAGTCCTCAAAAGGATTTTCCAGGATATGTTAAAGACTATTGCATTTACCTACCTACAGTTACTTTTTCACATAATGGAATTAACTAAAATATTTATGTAAACACTTGTTGCACGTCCCCTACTTTCATATAACGGCAAATTTAGAAACCACGAAAAATGGACTTAAAATGGGCCCTAATTGTATTATGTTAATGCATGCAAATACTTATATTTATGCTTGCAACTACTATTAATTTCTCAAACGATTCCTAATCTTTGACAATACATGTTTGACTTCATTCACCACGATCTTGAAAAAGGACCAAATCGGCGTGACCAAGTCCGTATATGTATATACATACATACATATGTACATAAATATTCAAAAGTAATGTTGTTGCAAAACCCTAGCGTAAAAAAAATTATTTATATTTATTCATATGACTACTTTGGACTTAGCAATTTTGCACATCACGGAATAAAACGGGTAGAAATAAAACAAGTAGTTAGATCCTTTCAGAAACGGCGCATTTTCAATATTCCTTGCTTCCTGCATCAAAAACTAATTGTTCATAAAAAGTGGACTTAGCAACATTTCACTCTAAGCTAGCGAAATAACAAAATCGTCGATAGCGGGAAATAGAAAATTCCGCTACTAGACTCAGTAGCCGACAGTCAGTAGCCAGTAGCCATACGTAATGCGAATTTTAGGATATGGTTGTCCATCGGCTATCAGTCGCCTTACACAATAGGCCATTTGTTTAGACCTGCGTTCTAATCATAAGTTTTTCAAATCTCACCAAGAGATGTCACTAAGGTCTATTCGCTGACAGGACTCGTTAATATTTCTCCCTTTTGAATCCTGTTAGCTTGATCCCGTTGCCAGATTCCATATTCTGTGGAGCCTATAAATGCGGCAATTATTAATGGTATCTTTCTACCGTTATTCAGACAGAGGTGAGTGGTTTGTGTTCATTTTATATACTTATTTTTATCAAATAAAATCCTGCACTATAGGCATATTTTAAATTTAACATTAAAATACTCTTTAACTACCAGTGGAGACTATGGAATTTGTTGTGAGTAAATAATAAATATATTATCTTAAAGAATCGGCTCCCCAATTGATCCCCGTTGCCGGAATTTACGAGGATTTCCGGCCCCTAAAATGCCCCGCTCGGCCCGTTTGATAAAAACTTATTAAATTCATTATAGAAACAAATATTTTTTCATATTTCCGCTAGAAACTGTTCCTTCGGTTTAGGTTTTTTAATGGTTTCTGACTCTATACATAAAAGAAACCTTACATGGAAAAGATTTAATTGTTTACATGCTTTTTAATTAATAAAATTTACGTATAGTGTTACGTCCAGTATTGCCACAAAGAAAATCCAAATTCCTCAAAAACAAATGACAAACCATGCGAGATATCCCTTTCCTTAAAGCTATTTATGTTGTGTATGGGGGTGTTTGAAGGTCTGAGAAGCAGTTTGAGGGAAATGTCAACAAAAATTAAATTTTTTTGATTTTCTGGCCGCCATGTTGACATCTGATCAAATTGCTTACGTTGTGTACGATAAAATCGCCTCATTCGCACCGGAATTTTTACCGAATGAGGACGCAAGAGAGAAATATTTGAAGAAAGCCAAACCCTTTTACATTGTGAACCGAAAGAAAGCTAAAATTCTTTGCTAGAACGAGTCATGTTTGTTGCATGGTGTATGGCGAAATGGGAAAAGTAGGTTCGAAGAATGTTTGACAAGCCGCTTGTGTAGTGTATTTTGCTCTTTATTAAACTTCGGAAAGCTTTTTGTTAAAAAATTTGCAGAGCGATTTAACAACTCTCTTGTGTAAAACATGGTTGCATTTATAATTTGCAAATATATCGAGAGAAAATTCCTTAAAAAATTCTTTAAAATAAAAATCCTCAAAAAGTACTCAAGCGCACCCGAAATTCCTCAGGTTTTGAGGAATTACGCACAAAGTAGCAACTCTGGGTTTTTCAGTCCTGGATACGAGTTTTCTCTCCACGGCCCTGTGTATATACATATATGTATAAGCATATATTCGTATTATATTAGGCAGCAATTAATAGTCGAATCATGGTTCCTGCTAGTTAAAAATAATGAACTTATAGTGTATTTGCAGTTAACTGAGTTCCCTACATAAAGCATGAGAAACATGAATGTGTAAAAATTAAAATTTTGGGAAATCAAGTTTAAAAGTTTTTTTACGAGACATAACTCTACATTTATCCAAGTGAAATTGTAAAATATATGCTTTCCGTGCACACACGGTATTCTGGGTTTTGGTATAACGTAGAACATCCAAAAGTTAATAGAGTCAACCCAATAACTCAAAACTGATAAATTTGTACATTTATGCTTCTGGCATGTGTGTGACGATATGTATATATGTTAGTGTCCGACCGAAGGTTCGGCCTGGCTTTCGGTATTCGGCCTATTCGGCTGGTTTTTTATCTTCGGCTTCGGCCTTCGACCGAAAATGCCGCACAATTAGGCAAGTCACAATGTATTCTATTTATCGTGAAGTTACATTATTTTACGACAGTTGCTGAAATTTTGTTGTTGTTTCACATCTCTACATAACACTTTTGAAAATGTAAGAACTCTATATCGACCCCATTGCGCAAAATTATCGTATGTTACAAAAACCAAATTTTACGGGAAAGTGTTCTTTGTACTTTTTTCTGCTTTGGTAAGCACCATTAACGCTTAGCTGAGATAATATATAAATATAACTAAACACAAGATTTTTGTTGTATGGTCTCTACATTATAATTTCTTAGCACACACGATAATTACGCCCACAAAAAAAATGCATTGTCACATACGTTAAAATTTACAGTAAATTTTTGAAATTGTTATTGAAATTTAAGCCGTAATATTTGAACAGGTGATGCGTCATCGGCTATAAAACAAAGTTGCATCAAAAAGTGAATTTCATCAAAAATGTAACGTACAATAATTTTGTGCAAATGGGTAGTTATACAAACAAATACATAAAATTGATACAATTGCGTTTTGCTGTGATTTTGTAGAAACACGAGCGCTATTTGGAAGTTTTTCAACAGAAAAAAGTCAACTACGATTTGGAATGTGTTCCAGAAGAGCTTACCCTGGGAAGTGAAGCGTGAAAAAACAATCAAGCTTGAAATTTACAATTGCATCCTTCACAATACCAAAAATATTTGCCGCTGTGGAAAAATGTATGTTTGTAAGGTATTGTTTTTTTAATAAGAAAAATAAATTGTTACGAATTAAAAAAGCAAAGGCTTTTAATTTTCGGCTTCGGTGTTCGGCCGAATATTGAATAGTACCTAATATTAGGCTTCGGCTTAGGCTTCGGCCAAAATTCCAGCTTCGGTCGGACGCTAATATATGTATGTAAGTGTATATTGTAGAATAAATATTGTATATATTTACCGGTATATATGTGAATAGTCCTGGGATGCACTTGCATTTCCTTTTAGTTGATCGTCTGCAGAGTTTTTGGCAATTTCAAAAATGTTTATCGAATAATTTTCTTTAAGTTTTGAAAATCTCTCTTTACACGACTCTCGCCAATCGTGTAGGCGCCCAGAAATTCCTTGGTACTCATGCAATTTCTCCATACCAATTGGCATTTAAATTATTGATGGAATCATCAAATTATTTACTTTATTCACAAAAACATTTTTTTCAAAAATGTTCTCTACTAAATTCGCATCACGCTAGCTCTGCAAGCATCATATTTACATACTTATATAATGAAATCTTTTCCCCCCAACGAATACTTTACGAATGAAATAGTCATTTACAAGTGGCCTAAAAGCATGCGCCTTTTGTGTTTGGAATTCGTGATTTCCTATATATATACACATACATTAGCGCACACAAGGGGTGCCAGCTCTCAAGAAAAATCACAAGAAATATTTTTTATTATAAAGCACTTTGCTTTTGCTGTAAATTTTCTTGAAGAAATAAATATACGAGCATTTTTTTCTTGAGAGGTGCAAATTGATTTAAGAAATTTTGATAGAAGAAAATTCCTATTCCATTTCTTGTGCGCCATTTTATATGAATTTTTCGTTTTTTTTGAGAGCTCTTAAAAATTTAACTGCGAATGAAACCTAAAAATATGCAATGCATACTCACTTACTGAGCCTAAAAGAGTTTACAACTGATGTGTCCTTAACAAGGATTCGAAGATTTAATTTGCCCACTTCGAATTCGTTCCACCAAAATTGCCTACATAACAAAAATTCAAGTTGATTTAATTTTCTCGGTATTCAAAATATTAAAAAAATTAGGCAATCGTAAAAAATCACCATCTCATTCGAAAACCAGAAACCAGATATCAAGGAAAATGAACATTAAAACTCTTTTTTTTAATTTTTTATTACTTTTGAAAGTTAGGCGCATCCTGTGTTTATAGAACTTTATATTTAACAATAATTTCAAATTACGGAAAGACCCTTGAGGTACAATCTTTCGGTTCACGTGGTCCAAAGTTATGCGTTAGCATACTATTCCGACGAATTGATAACCTACCCCGTTTTCGAAGTCGATTACAAATGTTTGAGCTTTTGGCTAAATTTATGTAAATAAATGCAGTTTATGAAACTTCAAAAAGTTTATTTATTTATTACATACTGTACATAAAACTTGCATAAATGTACTTTAATGATCATTTTATCTGAAGCGAATTTTCAGAAGTATAAACCCCTCCCAAAATATATTCCTGGGTGCGCCCCTGTACACATACATATGTATTTACATACGTATATATGTATGTGCACTCCCATATTATGTAATAGACATGCATATGCGCATACATATACCAACATACATACATATATATAGGCATGCATATGCGTATACAAATATGATATACATACATAAACACAACTTCTAGGACAGTGCATAAAATGATACTTCACAATTACCATTTATACAGTTGGTGTCTTTTCGCAAATATTCAAAATTAAATTTTTTTAAGAAAATATTGTTTATTTAATCCTCGTTAGTAGTATTTAGTTCTCTAGTAATATTTTGCATTCTTTCTGTGATTTTAAAAGAGTGAAGTATAAAACGTACGAAATTTCTTAAGACCTGCATCTGCAATATTTTTAATGAAAACAATTCATTTTAATTTCTTGAACGTTTTTTTATATGAAAACCTCGTTATTCTTGAGAGCTAGATCATACATAGTTTTTTAGAAGTTTTTTAATAGCAAGGCACCCAACTCTGATTTACTGTGCAATACTAACTGCCTTTATACTTTTATGCTTGCGCAAACGCATTTGAAAGCTAAGAAGCACACAGAAAATTTAATTAAATTATAAAGACATCTCAATATGAGCATTTCCAGCGCGCAGGCCCACTGGTAAAGAAAGATAAATGCGAAAGAAAAACCGAAACCGAAAATGCACATGATTGAATAGAAAGGTGTAATTTTTAAATTTAATCGTGTTATAACTATAACGCATCATGGACCTACTTAGCACAAAAGGGATCCTTTTTTGCTGCCCCACAAATCCCGAGAGATTCGATCTCCCAAGTCTGCAAAAGTTGTTCGAATGTTTGATAAAACTTCCAAGCTTTGGATAACAGAAACAAGTCCTAAGTGCTTATAAAATTCTAAGTAATTTAGCGAGCGAAAGTAGAAGTTCACAAATTCGAACTGCCTGAAATTAGAATGTTCTGCGCTTTTAGAACCAACTGCATATTCTGAAATATTTAATGTTCGTATCTATATAGTATTCTAGGAGTCTTAGCAACATATAAGCATTAGGGTGCCCATCGAAAAGGTTTTTTTTTTTAATTTCAAGAACCTACCACCTAATTTTATTAGTTTTTATGAGAAATATTATTTCCTATTTTTATAGATTTTTTGAAGGTCATTTAAAGATCGCGACCTGTCGATTTCAACGATCGAATATGATCTGACAAGAGAATATATAGGCATACTAGCTTATACCCGCGGGTTTCACCCCACGTTTTTATACAAATATGAAAAAAATTTAATTATGTTATATTTTATTTCTGTGCCCATTTCGTTATAGCTCGTTATTTTTTAAGCGAGTTAAGGTATTTAGGCCGTTTACAACTATGAAATTATAAAATCTCATCTGCGCGCTAGGCATACGAAAGTTTACCTTAAAATGATTCCAGGGATACGACGGGTGAACGTGTAACCTTCTTGGAGGTGCCACGGCGGGTTCTAATATTTCCAACTCAAATTTAGTAACCTGGCCTTGATAAAATACCACTTCTCATCATGGTTGCCACTCGCCAACATTTTTTTCTACCAAAATCTCTTAAAAAAAAATTACCAAAAGTTACCAAATCTTCAATACCAAAATCTTCACTTCTTCACTGAGAAAAAAAATATACTGAATAAAACTGCTATATTTCATAACAAATGTGTATGTACTTACAGCCCGATTCTGTGCACTTAATAATTTCAATATTTTTATAAATTGTCAATTTTCGATTATTTATCAAAACACAAAACACAGCAAAGAAGTTTAAATCTCTTTTCTTGATAAATTATAAAGATTGAAAATGCTATTGACAATTATAATAATTTTTTTTATTAGAAGATATTTTTCTATCAATCAATTACTGCATGTGCCGGTATTCTCGTTTTCGTTGTTGGTGTTTCCGACACGGTAGGAGTATGATGTAATGTGGAACGATTTTTCGTCATCTTTTGGCAAATTTGGTTTGGAGACAAACCATTGTGCCATCTTCAGTGTCATTTTTCGTTCGGAATGTGCCGATATTTGAACCTGCGACTCACGGAAAAATGGCACCGGCATACAAAACAAGTGCCAGGTGCTTTTAACCGAAATTTCGAGCTATTTTTTCGGTTTTTTTCATAGTTTACTGTACGTGTCAAACGGACCTCAGATTCGATTCTGTGGGTCGAAATACATGTCGGTAGGTGGGACTGGTAAAAAGCACGCGACATTTTTTTGGTGCCGGAATAATCAAAACGATTTGTGGACCTTACCAAAAATTGCCAGATGGCCGAATTTTTATACCATTTTTACTGTAGAATTCAAAATGTATCGCAAACATTCGAAAGTTGTTTCAGAAGTGCAGCCCGTGGTGCTGCCACTGTAATTCAAATATTTCCAGTATTCGAATATGAATGAGATGGCTCTAATTTTATCGAAGTAAATTGTGTAAATGTTATCGAAGTGCTGCCACTGAAACTCGAAGGGTTTTTATAATTACGCACAGGCAAAACATAATTCATTTCTTTCTAGGAATGCAAATAGATGTTTGGTTGCAAAAGTTACCAAAAAAAAATAAAAGTTACCAAGTTACCAAATCGTTTAAAAGTTACCAATTTTGGTAACCGTGCTCCTCGTTACTGTAGCAAATGCCCCAAGAGAGCTTTAGATATAAGGCCGAACCCGGCTCTCCCTTTTCAATCAAATGAAATTTTTTGTGTTAGTACGGCACTTATAAAATAAATCTCCATAACAAATTTAAAATACTTCCAGAGATTTCCTATCCTTCCAGAGATATGTATTAAGAAGTCTTTAGTATGTATGGGCGACATGCCTCCTTTTTAATAAGTCACATTTTTCCATGAGCAATTGATACATTTTGTATACACAACTCCATACCAAGTTCCAGTATTCTTCCACAAACACTTCCAGGGATATGTGGCAAGGAAAAGTCAATTTGTACAGGAAGTGCCACGCCCCTTTTTTCTTATAACCCTAATCTTCTTCCATGAATTTAGACTTGATTTTACATACCCCAGGACCAAGTCCCAGTACTCTACCATGAACACCTCTAGAGATATGCAGAAAATTTCTTACGGGTGGTACCATGTCTCCGTTTCGAATAACGCAAATTTTTCTCCATGAATATGGAATTAATTTTGTATACACATCTCGGTGCCAAGTTCCAGTCCTCTGCAATAAACACCTCCAGAGATATGCAGCATAGAAAAATCAATTTGCATGGGAGTTGCCACACCACCTTTTCCAATAACTCTCATTTTGTCCATACGTATTGTATTAGTTTCACATACATACATACCTATGTATTTCCATACCAAGCTTGAGTACTTTACCCCAAACATTTGAAGAGATATGCAATATGAAACTTTCAGTCGGTATGGGAGTTGCTACGCCTCTTTTCCAAAATCGTCCATTTTTCTCCGTGAATATGAATATGATTTCACACAGTGTTGGCAAAAAGTTAATCTGATTAACGATTAAAATGTTAATCGCGTTTGACGATTAAAATTTATTTGTCGATTAATGATACAATTTTTTTACTCGTTAATAGCTGGCTGCGATTACGACTATTTAATTTTAATCATTAATCGTTAATCCAATTAAAAATGAAATCTGATTATGTTGTCTAGTTTGTCCGAATTTGAAACCAAACACCAGTTATAGTAATTATTTTGTTTTTTACGCTTATAAAAAGCACATAATATAAAAAAAATATAATTATTGTTATTAGTAATACATAAACCTAGTTTGTAAAACGTTTGTTGGTATAGATCTTAATGAAAATGCACACCAAATTGCTCAGATTGATGAGGAAACCCGACTTAGCCATACCGGATTAACTTGCTTTGTAAACACTGGAAAATTCCAGAATAAATTAATTAATCACCAAACCTACTTGATCAAATTAAGAGTTAAAGATTAAAAATTTCATGTTTTATAATCGCGGCTATGATTAACTGTTTAGTAAGATTAAAATTAATCATGATTAACTATAATCAGATTAAATTTAAAC